AGGACAAACCATGTTAAACACATAAAACAATACATCGTTAAAAGCACAACATTCATACAATTCGGGTGGGGAAACAGGTTAAACAAGTAAAAAAATAAACAAATCAATATGTTTTAAGTTCTCACCTGCTTCGTCATTTGCCAGACACAATCAATGAACTGCAGGAACATGGGGGATCTGTCAGCATCTGCGTGATCGTGATCTCCGTGACCGACTCGCTGTAGGGGAGGGAAACCAAAAGGAACTCAGAGAACCATTTTCAAGGGGGGGGGGGAAAACCAGCTGCTTTTTGAAAACCTGGACGATGGAGAATCTCCATAGACAACCCAAGTGGAATCGTCTCTGGCGATTCTCCACCACCCAGGTTCATGGTTGTCCCAAAGGGGCTTTTTTTTTCCAAGACACAACTGGACTTTCTTGTGTTTTCTTTGAAGACGGTTCGCTTCTCATCCCAGAAGCTTCTTCAGCTCCGACTGGATGGTGGGGAAGGGAAGGATTTATGCTCCTTGCAGGCAGCTGGTCATTTGCAGCCTTTTAGGCAATCGTTGAGGCCACTTGGGAGTTTCTATCTGTGTCCTCAGGAGGGTCACTTGAGTAGTGCAAATGGGTGTGGAGCCTTCGTGGAACGGCCGAAAGGATCTGTGTTGTGGACTGGAGGTAGATGATGATGTTCCCCTCACTTTCTGTTGAGAGGGAGCTGTTCAGTTTGGACACAGCTTCTTGGATGAGAAGCAAAACATCCTCAAAGAGAAACCAAAACGTCCAGTTGCCTCTTGAGAAAAAAAGCCCCTTGGGAGGACCCAAGAGGAAGTTGCTAAACCAGAAACCAGGAATGGAGACCGGCCTCCTTTGGCCAACCGTCTCCGCTGGCGCTTTGGAGGGACCGCTGCCCTCTTGAGTTTCCACACTTAAATCCCCGAGTGATCCCCTTTCCGTCTGGCGTGATGATGCTCACCAGGGCAAAGCGATGCCCGAAACTCATCCACTCCTTCTCCAAGAGGACCTCGAAGCCTTTGATGGTCCGGTAGTAGCTGTCCAGCATGAGCATCGCCAAGGAAGTCAACTGAGCGGTCCGGTCCCAACCATCGCTGCAATGAACCACCACCGAAGTTTTCCCAGACTCAATTTTGTCAGCAATTCTCACAGCTCCGGCCAGAAGCATCTTTTAGGAAAAAAGAAGAAGAAAAAAAATCCAAGTTGAGATACAATCTAATAAGGGACCTTGGAGGTCTTCTAGTCCAACCCCCTGCTCAGGCAGGAAACCCTGTACTGCTTCAGACAAATGGCTATCCAACATCTTCTTAAAGACTTCCACTCTTGAGGCATTCACAACTTCTGGAGGCAAATTCTGTTCCACTGGATTAATTGTTTTAAATGTCAGGAAATTTCTCCTCAGTTCTAAGCTGCTTCTCTCCTTGGTTAGTTTCCACCCATTGCTTCTTGTTCTGCCCTCAGGTGCCTTGGAGAATAGTTTGACTTCCCTCTTCTTTGTGGCAGCCCCTGAGATATTGGAAGGCTGCTATCATGTCTCCCCTAGTCCTTCTTTTCATTAAACTAGACACACCGAGTTCCTGCAACCGTTCTTCATATGTTTTAGCCTTCAGTCCCCTCGTTCTCCTTTTCATCAAAGGTATCGTCCCGCCTGCCAGCCATTTGGAAGCCTGCCCTTATTGATAAACAATCCCTAACATGATGAATGGCACCAGGCCCACACTCACAAGAGCCACACAGGATGTCACCACCAAACACCCACAAAGAAAGCAGACAAAAACCCACACTGATGAGGAGGCACAGCCAAGGGCCAGAAGCCAGACTGCAAATG